TTTGAGACAGAGTCTCGCTTTGTTGCCCAGGCTAGAGTGAGTGCTGTGGCATCAGCCTAGCTCACAGCAACCTCAATCTCCTGGGCTCAAGCGATCCTCCTGCCTCAGCCTCCCGAGTAGCTAGGACTACAGACATGTGCCACCATGACCAGCTAATTTTTTGTATATATATTTTTAGTTAGTCAATTAATTTCTTTCTATTTTTGGTAGAGTCAGGGTCTTGCTCAGGCTGGTTTCGAACTCCTGACCTTGAGCAATCTGCTCGCCTCGGCCTCCCAGAGTGCTAGGATTACAGACATGAGCCACAATGCCCAGCCTTATTTTTGAGACAGAGTCTCACTTCTGTTGCCCAGGCTAGAGTGCCGTGGTGTCAGCTTTAGCTCACAGCAACCTCAAACTCCTGGGCTCAAGCGATCCTCCTGCCTCAGCCTCTCAATTAGCTGGGACTACAGGCATGTGCCACCAAGCCCGGCTAATTTTTAAAAAAATATATATATGTTTTTAGTTAGCCAATTAATTTCTTCCTATTTATAGTAGAGATGGGGTCTCACTCTTGCTCAGTCTGGTCTTGAACTCCTGACGTTGAGCAATCTACCCGCCTTGGCCTCCCAGAGTGCTATGATTACAGGCGTGAGCCACCACGCCCAGCCTGATTGATTGATTTTCAAGATGGGGTTTCACTATGCTGTCCAAGCTGGAGTGCAGTGATGATTCACAGGTACAATCATAGCACACTACAGCTATGAACTCCTACCCTCAAGCAATCCTCCAGCCTCAGTTTCCCAAGTAGTTGGGATTACAGGCCTATGCCACTACTGCCTACTTATCTTGGATTTTAGTTCCAGATTATATCTATTTAAAAAAGAAAATCCATGCTCATTTAGATGTAATAATAAGTGTTACTGGTTAAGTTATTCATCTTTTTTTTGTTTTTAATTTTTGTGCACCCAATCATTCTAATAATTCACTTCTGTTGAATTCATGTTTCCTTCATGTCTTCTCTCTCTGGTATACCTCCCCTTGTAATTCTTTCAAAGAACATCTGTAGTTGGGAAAAGTTTGAGTCTTTGTATATCTGAAAAGTGCTCTTTTGTCTGGGTTCAAGTGGAGTGGTGTGATCATAGCTCACTGTTAAACTACAACTCCTGGGCTCAAGTGATCCTTCCACCTCAGCCTCCTGAGTAGCTGGGAATACAGGCACACAGCATCTTGTACTTTGGCCCGACCCTAGAAACATTTATTTCTCTGAGTATCTCTGACTTTGAAAGTATAGAATGATATTTAGAAGCTGAGATCTAGACACAAAGTACTTATTGCTATTGGGGTGCTACTGCTTCCAGGCCCTCTCAGTAGATGGAGTTACTTCCAACCCTATTTATTTCTATATCTGTATAGGCACGTTGAAAACCACAAATACATGCCAATATCTCCTATTCCAATTCACCACCACAGGGTTCATTCTTGCTTTATCCCTTTCTATACACCTACCACCCTTCTCCAATAGTAGGAAACATGGCTCCCATTTCCCTTCATGTGCTTATTATTTGATTCACTCTCTGTGTGCAGCCTAAGCCCTATCACTGTCTGTTGCACAGATGCTTTCCTCACCCTGCACTAGGCTGGCCCCTACAGGGACGTCCTCATCACCCATCTTAGGCTCCGACACCCACTCCAGGCTGCCTTGATAGTGGATGACTTCCTCACCCTCCTTGAGTTCCCACCTGCTGCCAACAGGTCTTCCTTCCATACAGATGTTATCCTTACTGCACTCAGGCTCTGACCGCCCAGGTAGGCTACCCACATGAGTAGATGCCCTCTGTTTGGGTTCTGATTCTCCATGTGGGATACATACGCAGATGGACACACGCACACATGTGCGTGCACACACACACACTTGTGCGGGCTCTGACAACCCATGCCAAGCAATGCCCCTTATGGATGCTTTTCTCATGCTGTTAGGCTCTGACACCTCCCATCAAGCTGTCCCCATGCCGGCACAGTGGCTCACGCCTGTAATCCCAGCACTTTAGGAGGCTGAGGTGGGAGGATCACTTGAGACCAGGAGTTCCAGGCTGCAGTGAGCTATGATGATGCTACTGCACTCCAGCCTAGGGAACAGAGTGAGATCCTGTCTCTCAAAAAAAAAAGCTACCCCCATGCATGGACCCCCGTCACTCCACCCCAGCTAACACCAACACCAGGTCTTCTTCTCTGTAGAAATGCCCTTCTCACTTAGCTCATGCTCCTACATGCCCCACTAGGCTACCAACCCACACGGACTTGGGCTCCAGTACCCACAGCAGGCTGCCTGTCTGTGTGGACACCTTACTCTCCCTGTTCAGGCTGACATCCCAAGCTGGGCCACTCCCATGCACAGCCTCCTTCACTTGAGCTCTGACATCCTGCACCAAACAGCCCCTCCGTGAATGCCTACCTTGCTCTGCTCCATATCAGAGGAGCAGAATTAGGACTGAATTATTCAGGAAGGGGAGGGAAGAGCTCAGAAAACATTAACTATACCCCAGGGGCTGCTAGAGAGGATGCAGACCTTAGGGCAGAGTCACCTTGGTGTTTTCCAGGACTAGTCATGCTCCTGCTGGAAGAATGGACAGGTCTTGGAAGACTGAGGGAATGGGCAAGAGGCCATGAGACTTGGGACCTAGGCAAGAGAAAGAGGTCAGGGTTCTGAACTCAAGGAGCTGCAATTGTGGACATTACTCACTTCTCACCCCCATTTCTTGCAGACATGGCCAATCTGATTTTTTTTTTTTAATGTTAAAACCCTGGGCAGGGCTGGGCACGTGGTGGCTCACACCTGTAATCCTAGCACTCTAGGAGGCCAAGGCGGGAGGATCACTTGAAGTCAGGAGTTTGAGACCAGCCTAAGCAAGAATGAGACACCGTCTCTACTAAAATAGAAAAAAAATTAGCCAGTCAACTAAAAATAGAAACTAAAAACATTAGCCAGGTGGCCGGGCGCGGTGGCTCACGCCTGTAATCCTAGCTCTCTGGGAGGCCGAGGCGGGCGGATTGCTCAAGGTCAGGAGTTCAAAACCAGCCTGAGCAAGAGCGAGACCCCGTCTCTACTATAAATAGAAAGAAATTAATTGGCCAACTGATATGTATATAAAAAATTAGCCGGGCATGGTGGCGCATGCCTGTAGTCCCAGCTACTTGGGAGGCTGAGGCAGAAGGATCGCTTGAGCCCAGGAGTGTGAGGTTGCTGTGAGCTAGGCTGATGCCACGGCACTCACTCTAGCCTGGACAACAAAAGGGAGACTCTGTCTCAAAAAAAAAAACAAAACAAAACAAAACAAAAAAAAAAAAACATTAGCCAGGCATAGTGGCTTGTGCCTGTAGTCCCAGCTACTTGGGAGGGTGAGGCAGGAGAATCACTTGAGCCCCTTGAGCCCAGGAGTTTGAGGTTGCTGTGAGCTAGGCTGACACCACCGCAGTCTAGCCCAGGAAACAAAATGAGACTCTGTCTCAAAAAAAAAAAAAAAAACACAAACCAACCCTGGGCAGTGGAGCCCCATCCCTGCTCTCCACTCTCCTGCAACCACACTGGCTTGGCCAAAAAATGAGGGGTGCTGAGGTCAGGCTCTGAGAATTCAGAGATGACCTCCTTCCTTTCTAGTTCTTGCTGACATACAATCATCACTCTCTCCCTCTTCTATGGCTTGAGCTATAAATCTTCCACTTCTGGTTTTCATGGATATTCTCAGATGGTTTCTGTTGCCTAAGCTGAAAAGAGCTTGCCCCAGAAGCTGCTTTACCAGATCACCTGAACCAGGAAACAAATAAGGCTTGAATTTGGAAGAGCCCTTTGTTTCAGTTACATTACTGAAGTACCTGCAAAGGAAAAAGTGAATATTTTCTAAATAATTACAGGCTTCTTATCTTTCCATCATTTTAGTCCTCCAGGCAAAACAAGACAGGCTGAATCCAGGGGGCCCTGGTATAACTTCTGCATCTGTCCTCTTATATATACTCCCTTCTACCCTGATATAGCAACTTGAACCCTGGGGGTATCATTCTCCCCAATTCTCCCTGGAGCCTCGCCCAGGTGCATGTGAAATGCAGTAGCTTCAGTGGACATCTCTGGCCTGTCAAAAAGTAACTTCACAGGCCTAGAATAATAGCTCATGACCAGATACCCAAGGTCCATACTGAAAAGGAATTTTTATGTTCAATACCAAGCCTTGTGGACCAGAGAAAAATCGAGGGTAATTGGTCTAAGGCACGTTGGGAGTCTTCATTGTCACCATGAGTATAAATGAAATCCAGGCAGGCTGGGAGTGGCTGGGATCTGGCTCTGGCACTATGAGCCCTGTTCCTCCTATAGAGCTGGCCAGGGCAGCAGGGGAAAGAGGACAGAAGGGATGACTTGGCAAGCTAGAATGGAGGTAGAAAAGGAGACACAGAGCGTCCCAGCCCCAAGCTGATGGGATGTGGGAGAACAGCTGGATTGTGGCTGGGAGCCATGAGCAGATGGCCTCAGCCAAGGCTGAATTCTCAGGTCTGCCTGGGACCAAATCTGTGCTGAGGAACCCTGGAAGGCTTGTGCAGAGCTGCTCTGGGCAGCTGGACAGGGCCAGGCAGGGGCAGAGACCAGGTGTGGGAGGGCATGAGCCCTCTTTGTAAGACTATAAAAGTCTAATTAGAATGTTCTGTTTCTAAAATCAAATACCAGAATCCTTCCTCCAACCTCAGAAGTGGCAGTAGACATTGTTCTGGCAAAGGACAAGTGGGGTCAGAGAGAGGCCAGACTAACCCACAGAGCATGACGAGCCTCAGAGGGAGAAAGTACACCCTGGGGAGCACAGTGCTGTCCCCTGTAGACATGGTGGCCACAGAGACTCGAAGCCATAGCACTAGTCCCCTTTGCTCCTCTCCTCAGCAGATGAAAAACGATCTGTGCAAAGGAGGTGGCTCTTTATCCTCTCCAGGGCATGGGGCAGGGTGGACAAGAGCAGTTGGAGACAATACAGGAGCCCAGATTCTAGGTCCAACAGCAGATTTTATTCCCTAGGAACAAAGATATGCAGGGAAGAAACTCCAAAAGGAAACGGGCATGGGTGAAAGAATGACACCAGTGTGGCCTGCTTCAGAAGTCAGGTAGATGGCTGTTCCACAGTGGACTGGTCATGGCCCTCGTTTCTTGGATCTACTTTTACCCTGTCCCCAAGTGTCCATCTCAGAGGTGGATGATAGAGGCAGTGATGTGGAAAACTTGCCTACTCTACACAAAGGAGAAGGGGGTACCTGTCTATTCCCAGAGGCCCAGGGACACCAAAACCTTCCTCTCAAGAACAGAGGTAGACAGATAAGAATGAGAGGGGCTTAGGTGTCACAGAAAACATTAAAGCAATCAAAGGGTCCCGCTGTGACTGGCAGAATCGGTGCTGAGATGAGACCACAAGGGAAGCAACAGCTGGCCAACGGAGCTTTGAGTTTTGTGGTGGAGACAGGTGATCTTCCAGATTGGGCCCTAAACGGGCTCTGGCTCTGTTGAATCAGAAGCTGTTATCCTTTTCCCAGAGGATTTGCTTCTATCGCTACTTCTATTGCTACTTCTGGCATGATCCTGCCTGCTGCAAGCCTGATCCTTTACAGATTGGCAAGGAATGAAGAGAAACCCTGCCCTACCCTTACACACTCGAGATGTGACAGCTTCTACTACAGGCAAGAACCTCTAAGAATAAGGTCCTTTGGTTTCGGCCAAGTCATCCAGCCCCATCCCTGCAGAACACATCAAGTGATTCATCCCTGTACTACAGGGTGGCCTCCGGCTGCTGCCTGGCACAGTGAGAACAGAGGCTGGGGTCCTGAGTCCACGTCACAGGGAGGTCTCCTGGAGGACGAAGGTGGGGCTGCTCCCCTGCTGAGCCCAGCCATCCAGGGCCACCACTTCCTTGTCTTTGCTGTCCCTCAGCACACCATTCGCCATCTTCTCTGGAAATAGGTCAGTGTCTACCGGGAGGTCCTGGGGACACGAAAAGCAAAAGGGATGGGGCTGCTGAATATGGACATGGGGTGGTGAAGGGATTCATGCAAAGGTCCCTGCTAGAAGGAGCCAAGCAAGGCTGGGTAGGGGAGAGGGGAGCAGGGGGAAGAAAAGGAGGAACAAAGCATGGTGGGAGGGGTTTAAGAGGGATGGGGGGGGAACGGGACACATCTGTGGGCTGAGCTCCACACCCCTCACTTCCAGTAAGGCCCTGTGGTAGCAGGTGGGACAGCTGCTGTGGGACAGTCCACACTTAGCAGCTCCTCAGAGAGAGGGGTGCTGGGGCAGGGGGAAAGGAAAGGGGAGGAAGGGAACCCGAATGGTCTGGTGGCATCGGCAAAGGGAAGGGAGGGGATTGTTTGGACAGCAGGTACTACCTGGCTGTAGCTCCTGCAGGAGAGCCTCTTCTGATAGGACAAGGGCAGGAAGGCAAGCAGTTTTGGCAGCACTGGGTAAATGGTCCCAGGCTTCAGAGGCCGGCCCCGCATTCCCCCTAAAGGCAAAGGCACTTCTGAGTCTCCTAAGTGGAACTGTGGAACTATCCAGAGCAGCAAGCTCTCTTCTCCCTCTAGGGCCACTGCCCTCTCCCACCTCCTGGATCTTAGTGAGAAACCTGTCATGGACACCCAAGATCTCAGAGGGTAGGGTCCCCTCTCCCAGCAGACTGCAGAGTCTGAGGGCCCTCCCTCAGCCCCTCCTGTTCCTCTGCCCCACAATCCCACACCCTCACCGGTGAGCAGACTGATAGTCAGGCCCACGACAATGACCGTGGTGGAGTTGTGGGCACTGTACCACATATAGGACAGGGAGTAGAGCCGCTGCAGCCCCGTGGGCCTGGGGAGAGGAGAGAGGGGATGACAGTTAGTTAGCAATTTCTTAGATGGGTGTCCCTTAGGCACTTGGCTCTGACTACCTGAATGGTCCCAGAGTCTTGGGACCCAATACCCAACATTACCCTGAGGCCTCTGATGGCCCATGCCTTAGCAAAGCCCCCGTGAAATCCCTCAAAAATGAGCTTCTATCCCTAAGGAGAAAGACAGCAAGCTCCGCCTCACTTGGAGAGGGTAGTTGAGGACATCAGTGTGGTCACAGTGGCAGCGGTCAGATTGCTGGGCAGGGAGAAGCTGGATCCATTAGGGGGAGAGGGCGCCACTCCAGAGCCCATGCTGGTCACTATGCTCCCAATGCCAATCCAGAAGGCCATGATGAGTCCAGCCAACAGGCCCACGATGGCACCCTGCCCAGAGACACGGTGCAATCTACTGTCACAAGGCCAGCCCTCCCATCCTTCACACCAGTCCCCAGACCTGATGAGAGCCCTGCCAACCCATTCCCCAGGCTGATCCCACTGCACATGACTAGGGAGCCAGATGCATCACTCACAGGAGGGTTGGCACAAGGAAAGAAAATCCCAAGACAGAAGAGTCCAAGCAGTGGCCCCCCAACCATGCCAAAGATGCTGATTGCTGCCTGGAAGGACAGGGTTGAAGGGGAAAAAAAACAACACATAGGCTCAGAGACCCCCAGCCTCATGGTAGAACACAGCCACCCACCATTGCCTCAGAGCCCGTCAGATCTTTCTCTTGTACCTGGAACCACAGAAGTCATGAATCCAGAGGGCAGGGGTGGTTAAGGGAATATGCTTTGGGTTCTCTTCTGAGGCTGATCCTTAGATCTCTCTGAGCCCAGACGTCCCAGGAATGACCCTAGGGCTTTTAGCTACTTGAGAGTCTGGTCACAGTAAAGTTGGTCCGTCAAAGGGAAATTTCTGACCCCTGCCCCTCTTTCTTTCCTCTCAAAATAGCTGCCTTCCTCAATTTCCTGTTTCAATCAATTCCTTTCCCTTAAACATTGCTTCCCCTCCACCACAGTCATTACCTGCAGCACAGGTCCCATCTGGGAGGAAACATAGGCCATCCCCAGACAAAGCAGCCCATAGCCAAATGCTGATGGGGAGAAGAAAGGAAACAAGCAGATGTGAGTTAACACAAGAAAAACACTTAAGCAAGGCTCCTTGCCCAGCCAAACTGCCACCTCTGTGTCCCCAGAAACAAGGACACTCTACCAGACACCCAGCTCCAGACCCCTGCCACCAAGTCCTCACTCCTACATGACTCAGAGACCTCCTAGGAGATACTCTGAGATGTCACCAACCAGGGAGTGAAGACTATGTGCTTCACTGGGCAAGTGCAAAGCACAGGGTAAAGCAGGGGTCTCACAGCACACTGAGGACAGCAGTCAAGGTGTAACTTAGAAAGAAGCAGGCTGAAGAGATGAGGGAGCATAACCTCACCAAGGCTTCTGGAAAGCATGATGGCCCGGGCTTCAGAGAACTGAGGGAACCAGGGTCGAATCAGGTCTTCCATCGTCACAGTTGCCAATGAATTAAAAGCAGAGGATATGGTGCTGGAAAGAAGGAAGAGAAGTAGGAGCTGCATTGAGTCTGGGAGCTGAGAGAAGCAGAACTAACACAGGACTCTACGGAGGGACTAACAGGGACTCTACACCCTAAAGAGGGAGAGAAAACTTGTATTGCCAAAAACCTCCTCACAGGTGGAGCTGAGCCCACCTCAGAGGAGGCGTGGAGGCAAGGACATGGTCCTTTCCTGAGTGTAGGTACAGGTTTTGTTCAAGTAGATCAATTCCTGGTATTGTAAAAGAAGAACCCTTAACCAAAGCACAGGGAGCTGTGCTCTGTCCTGCACAGATGAATTGTCCCTGTTATCCACAGTAGATGGGTACAGTGAGAAACTCAGAGATCTCCTCCCCCACCTGTCACCTTGTACCAAGTAGGGGTCAGGTGCACCCAGCCTGAGGAAATGGTCAAAGGAGGTACCTGAGGGAGCCACTGAAGAGGCAGGCAACGAAGAGGCCAGGCAGGCCAGGCAGGTCTTTCAGGAGATCCATCACAAAGTACAGGACGAACTGCAAGCAGAGCAGAAGCCCACAGCATCCTCAGGGGGGATGCCTTCTCCAGGGCAAGCCATGCGGGGAGGCTCCCTTCGCATGTGCATGTGTCAGTACTGAGACTGGGTGTGCCAGGAAAGGGAGCCAGGCATTGAGGCATCTCTGCTGACCCACATGACTCTACTGTGAGTGGAGAGAAAATGGGCTCCAGAAGGGAATGATGCAGTTCATCTCCCAGCTAGCAGCATGACTTCCACATGCTGGCCACCTCATTGAGCCTGTTTTCTCCTCTTTGAAATGAGACTGTTGGGAGGCTTAGGAGAGACCAAGGTGTGCGACAGCTCCCAGCAGAGCATGTGGTACACAGTGGGGAGTCAGTCAAGGTACATCTCCACCCCAGCAGTGTGAGCGCTGTGATTGCTGATGCTAGGGGCTGGGATCCTCACGTGCTAGACTGCTAGCATCTCAGAGTGGGAAAGGATTTTGCCTCCATCTCCCACCCAGGGTGACAGTCCCTTCTGTAACCCACAGACACTCCTCTTGGGGGCCCCAGCAGACCTCTCTCAGGCATAAGAGGGAGCCAGGGAGGCCTTCTCACCTGGTCAGGAGCTGCCTGAGACTGCTGGGTACTCATGGGAAATCTCTGGTAATAGGCAAACATGACCAGGCCAATGAGGCAGCCCATGCCAAGGACCACCTGCTGGCAGGGGAACACCGCGTAACAGGACCTGCAAAAGAGGCCAGTGCCAAGGAAAGAAATGGTATTCACAGACAAACTGGGCACATCCCAATCCCAGTGAGTGTGTGTGTGCTCTGGCATCCTGCCTCACCCCAGTTACCACCAGGAAACCCATCCCCCAGCCCTTGCTCAGAATCTTTCTGTCCCTGCACTCACAGCACAGCAGCCTTCTCCGTGCGGGAACTGAGGTAGCGCTGCACCTGGGCCTGGTTCACCCCGTACAAGGAGAGCATCATGAAGACACCCCCGAAGGCCAAGGTCCAGAAGGTATGCCGCACAAAGGGGTCCGGATCCAGTCTATAACAGACACCACTTGGTCACCATGCCACAGCCCCAGACATACACTCAGCCTTCCTGTCCTCCTGGCAACACAAGTCAGAGAAGAGCACAGCAGAGACACCACTGCTAGGGCCAAGGGCAAGAAGCCAGGTGCACTCAACAGACAGTGCAGCAAGTTAGAGGGAGGGTTCCACTTCTCCATTCCCCAGCCGCATTCCAGGTACTCATCCCAGGTAATGTCCTGATCCCTCTTCACATCACACAGGAACCTATGATCACACTCCGTCTCTGCAGGGCCAGCTTCCCACTGTCTAGTGTTGCACCTGAGGTTTCCCAGCCCACCCTCTGCTTACTACAGCCCCGAGAGCAGGCTCTAAGATGGGCAAGCTCCCAGGCACTGCAGATCCCAGCCAGGAGAAGAGATATACTTACTCAATCCCAGAGATGCGGCCATGCTGGGAAGCCACGGCCCACACATGCCACAAGCTGCCCACCTTGGCTGACCCCACGATGATAACTGCCAGCTGCCCTAGGAACATGACCAGTGTCTGGAACACATCTGTCCAGATGACGGCCTTTAGCCCGCCCTGCAGGGAAAGGACAGCACACTGCCACAGAGGTCTTCTAAACCATCCACCGTAAGGACACAGTGCCTTCAGCAAGGAGACTATACTGTTGTCAGGAGGGTAACTACTCAGACCCCGTTGACATCATTTCCACCCCATCCTGTACTTTCTTATGTCAGCCCTGTTCCTAAATCCCACCCTAAATCTCATCTCACCCTAGAATTTAATCCCATCTCCTCACCTGGATGTTTACCTCATCCCTTCTTTTCCTTCTCCTCCCACGACCCCTCCTTACTTCATCCCTTCCCCTGCATCCCCCAGAGCTTGCTGCACTTACCAGAGCAGTATAGACTGTACAGACAATGCCTAGGGTCAGCACCGACAGCCACAGATCAAAGCCAGTCACTGTAAGCAGATAAACGTCAAAATCCAATCCCTGGAAGAGGGTTTTCCAGGGAGAAGCTCCAGTGGGGCAGTCAGGTCACATCATACAGATGAAGCATTCCGTAATTAACAATGAAATAAATCACTCACCACAATGGAAAAACAATTATTACAGAGCTCCACCATAAGGTATTGATTAACCAATTCAGATGAGGCATGGTAATGTCTGAGTAGCTTTCAAGTGATATGAACCAAGCCTGCTTCCACCTCTGATAGAGACCAACCCAAGGGCCCATGCAGTGAATTAATTCCCTGTCCAAGATCAGATTCATTCTGCACTCTCCTCTGTCTGCCCCTCCCAAAGGTGCGTTCCCAGCCTGCCATGGCTCGAAGCCACGGGCTGTGACTCCTCACCTGCATTGAGAGCCAATGACGGTGCATAGAGCACAACCCCCATGTAGATCACCTGTTGGATGTGGAAAAGAGAATGTGCCAGGGAGATGAGACAAGGGTGGGAAGAGAGAGGAAGATGGACCTTAGCTCCCATATGCCAGCAGCTTTCCCTCATCTAGGCTCACTTCTCTCTCCCTTCTCCTCCCAAATTCAGGCTTGCTGCCACCACAGTGTCTGTGCTAGAATTGGAAGGAACGGGCAAGCAGGATGCCTCTGGGTGCTTAGAGGATGCTGACCTCTAGCAGGAATCCTGCCAGTCTGACAGCAGGGAAGGCTCCAACTCTCACAGCATGCTTGAGTTCTGGTTCCCCTACCATTCCCCAGGCTCAATTACCATCCTCGTTCTACTTACCATCTGAAAGATAAAGGTCACGGTTCCACAAACCCGGACAGTTTTGTTGAATCGGAGCTCCAGATACTGGGTAAACAGAAAAATGGGATTCCTCCTGACTCCACCCCCACGATTCCCACACAAGTTCCCTCAAGAAGCTTGGGAATATCAGGGAATCCAATGCATACCCACTCTGAGCCCCACGCAGGATAGCGCTCTCCTTCTTCCGTCACTTCCATCCCCCCACCCCAACCTCACCCAGAAAGAACTATCAAAGCAGGTAAGTTTCTGTCACTGTCATTAGATGGAGGAGATCCAGGGTCCCAGATCCTTCATATGTGCCCTATTCCTCTTCTCCATCCCTGACCGTGGTGGCCCCATGTACTCCTCCCATGCTCACCTCATAGGCACTGGTGAGATGCAGGCGGTAGAAGATAGGGATGAAGATGTGTGCAGGAATCAGCAGCCCCAGGAAATAGGAGCAGCCCAGGAACCAATACTGGGTCCCAAATCGGTAGATCTCAGACGGCACACCCAGGATGGCCACGGCTGACTGGAAGGTGGCCAGCAAGGACAGCGCCACAGGAAGGCAGCCCATTTTGCGGTCTGCCATCAGCAGCTGCCCAACAGTATGGCGGCCCCAGCCACGAAAAGCATGGTAGAGCCCGATGGCAAGGGAGAGAACCAGCAGCAGGATGAACACCACATAGTCCACGGGGGAAAAGGTGGACATGACCACGCTTGTGTCTGAGGCTGGGCGGAGGGATGCTGAGGTGCTTACCCCTATATTGTGTCTGTGATCTGCAGCCAGCTGCTGCTCCTGGGCTCTGGGATGCCACTCAGCTGGGCAGTGGTAGGCAAGTGGCTGTAATCTGGTTCCCAACCACGGTTTCACAGTCCTCCTCCTCCCCCGAGTGACATTGTTCAGCGTGAGCTGCAAAGGAATCAGCAGCTTCCAGTCAAACCTAGCCTGCCTTTGTGGCCAATCCCACTCAAGTCTTATACATCCCATGGGACTTGGACCAGCCAGTGTGGTGGAGCCCTGGAAGGTCTGGAGCCCTGTTATGGGTTTGGGAGGGGAGTTAGGTGAGAGGCAAGCAGTAGAGAGACAGCTAGGAGACAATAATTTGGCCAGGACCTTTGGGTATGCAGAGTTATGAAATTCAAGAACCTTCTTAGGTCTCCAGCTGAGTAGCAAAAGAAAAATCAACTCTAGCCTAAGTTTCTTCTCAAAATAATTCCCTGCTCACATTTGCAGGCACAAACCCAGTCACTACAATCTACTAAGCCAGCAGAGCTCAGCCTGGCGCCACAACCCGGCAGGAAAGAAGACTCAGAGACTAATGACAGCAGGGCTCCCCCTATACCCTTGGCTTCAGCCTCCACCTCCCATGAGCCCATGTCACCCTCCTAAAGTGATCACTAGTGAGACTGCCTCTGTGGCAGCCCCAAACTCTATTCCAGGCATCTCCAGGCCAACCACCCCATGCCCCTTTCTTGAAGTTCTTCCCAACACCCCTAGAAAAGCCCTGCCATCCACTTCTCAGCCCCTCTACCTGACACATCACAGTAAATAGCAGATTCGGGAAGAGCAGTGGGATTCAAAAGTGAAAGAAGCAAGGTGAGAGGGCACCATCCTGGAGCCAGGGGTTCAGAGTAATGATTTCAGGGCTATTTTGGAGAGGAGCAAACCAGCCAGGGATCTGTGGGGCAAAGGGACCAGACATGGAGAGTGGTCCCATCCTGCTGGAGGTAGACACCTACCTGGATAAGCAATCCCTGTTCAGAGGCAGAGTTGCCTGGAACTGGGCAGAAGCTGAGGATCTGGCTTTATAAGTGGCTAAAGTGAGATCAGGAATTGGGGGTGGGGTGATGCTCAGCAGTCATTTGTTCTGGCCCCTTAGGGTAACCAATCCCTGTGATCCAAATGGCCCTATCACCCTATGGCCCCCACCACCAACTCAGCCCTACAGGCTACAGAATAGGGAACAGGGAGCTAATATTCAACAGCATTCCTAAATGGATTAGGCTTTCAGCCTAAGTCACTCTTGGCACTCTGCTGGAGAGAGTTGGAAAAGAAGAACTGAAAGAAAACAAGAAAGTTGATTTTCTAACTCCTATACAAGAAATATTAATCCTCCAAGATTATATCCCCAATCCTCAGAGAAACAACGGTAGGATGGTAGTATTGCAAATCTTAAAGAAATCTTTGGAAATCACTATTACAAACACCTCCCCCCCAGCCCCAATTTCACAGACAAGCACACTAAGGCGCAGATGGTTCAAATGATCTTTCCAAAAGCACAGAGCCAACTACTGCCACAGGCTAGATTAGAACCTAGGTCTAGTGATTTCACCATCTATCCTGCTCACCACACATATCATAAATATTGTACTGGTATGGGAAAAAAACACCAGAGAATGCCAGAATTAAATGGCCTAACATGATAAAAGTTAACATTTGTTGAACACCTGCTCAGTAAGCCAGCAGTGTTAGGTGCTTTATAAACATTAGTAATAATAAATAATAATGACAGCTAACACTTTCAAAATATCATGGCTTAGATTAAAACATCAATAACCTCTAGTTCTCACAAGAATACTGAGAGGTTAAATAACTAGCTTAAGGTTATGCAGTATGACACAAGACAAGGGAGAAACAGTCTGCCTGCAGCTGTGACAGATGATTCACCAGGGGCTGACCCTGTCCTCACAACTCCCCATATCAGGGTAGGAGCAGAGTGTTAAATGTATTCAGTCACTCACAGGACATAGTTTAGACTTCAACTAATCAAGATACAGATTAATATAAACCATGTTTTCTGTTCTTGCCCACTAGGAGAAAGATCAGGCTGTCTTCTGGCTCTCCCACACTTTGCTCTTGAGGAGATGTCGCCTAGTTGGCAAGATACAGTCTCATGCAGACTAAACCTGAACTCTGAACCTTGTGGGGCCAGTAAAGTAAGGAAATCAGAGCTGGCAACCCTTGGATCACATGTTCTACAGAGTCACAAATACTAGAGCCTAAAATGAGGTTCCCAACAGGCCATTCTGGTTTAACCTAAAGGTGCCCTGGGCCTCTGCACATTGCAACACCCTGAGTTTTCTCACTTGTCCCTGGCAAGTTTTTATTGTTATGATAGAGATGACAGGAAGTGCTGGAAGGTAAAAGGAGAGATGTCTGCTGTAGGCAAATAACATGGAGCACTAACAAGTTAGTGGTGTGAATAGGCAGGTGGTTGGAGAAAGAAAGGCCCCAGTACAGGACACAGATGTACAGAAATGGAGATTCTCTACTAATGGGGCTTCCTGATAGAATTCTATCTGCATGATGTGCAGAGAACCCTTCCTGGTAGCTGAAGAGAGAGCTGGACAAGACAAGAAATACCTGATCCAGTAACAAACCCTTCATCCCCCACAATTCTAAGAACAGAGCAGTGATCCAGACCTTATGGACTTGCGTCTCTCTGTGTGGGAGCCAAAAGGAAGAGCTCAGTTGTTTCGCTGAAACTGTAACACACTAGGGCACAAACAGCAAGGTGTGGGGCCCCTTGTAAAAAAAAAAAAAAACTAACTCACTTGGGTCACACACTGCACTGGATTGCTTTGACTCCTACAAAAGGCAAAGGGGTCACCGCAGGACCAATTGTTGCAAAAAGATTCCCTTTAAAATCTGTCCTTGGGTCTAAAAGGCTTTGGTGGCCCTCATTAAAATGCAAATAGCTACTAACACCTTAGAAAATTTGCCAGCCAGCAGAATGTAAATCCTTTCAGGAAATTTCAGGCAGATACCAGGGAGTATATTGAAAGGAAAAGATTCTGTCGGCCTTAATGAGCTTCTGGCTGGTCCTAACCAAAGCCAACACCAGTCCCTCACGAAGCCGGGCTTCTCCGGCGCCCTTCAGTCAGGGCCCCGGCCACCCTGGGGCAGCGCTGCCCTCCCTTACCTCCGTGGTTCAGCCAGGGCTAGGAAGGTCCCTTCGTTCTTCCCGAGATCAGCATCGTCCCCTTTTTCTGGGAAGGCAAAGATAAGGAAGGAGTTAGGGAAGCATCTATCCCGTTCCTACCTCCTCGCCAGGCTCTGGGAGGTGTCAGGAGTGAGGTGAAGGAGACTTGGTGCCCAGGGCGTTCCAAGGCTCGCGTCCTCCCGCTGGGGTTTGTGGTTTGCCCTTAGCCTTCTGCTCCTCCATCACCCTTACCCACTTTCCTTCCCGGTTTCCCCCTTCCCTCCACACGAGCGGAGACTACCACCTCGCCACTCGCACTTCAGGTAGTCCCAGTCCTCACGTCTGGAGCCCGCTTGCTCCGCCCCTTCCCTCCTCTCCGCCCCCGCCCCAAGGCAGCTCTCGGGAGCCTCTCAGCACCTGACCACACCCTCCCGGCCCACCTGCCCGGTCTCCACACGTGGGTAGCCCAAGAGCCGCACCGTAGCGCCCCGGCCAAGAGAGCGCGAGGCCCCGCCCCCTGCCCGCCCCACGCCGCGCCGCCATGTTTACTGAGGGCAGATGGAGTGATCTGAGCCTCTGTGGTGACACGAACTTGGCGTCCGCACGCGGGGAACACAGGACTGAAGGAACCTGTGGTCGGCTCGGGGAAGCTGAGCGGTGACAGGAAAAGCCTTCGCTAAAGGGGAAGATGGAGAGTGGGTCGGCAAATTTCCCTGAACTACGGCTGGGGCGCATGGAGATGGGCGCTGACCTCCCCGGGCCAAAGCAACCTACAACCCGCCCCGGCAACTGGACCCAGCCGCTGAGGCTACGCCGGGAAAGGGCGTGACGCACTAGGGGCGGGGCCGCGCACGCAAGTCTGGCGTGCCTCCGACACGGATGTAGGGAACGGAAAATGGCGCCTCACTGGCCCAGCATTCTTAGGAACCTGGCGCTGTGGGTTGCGGCTCTGCTCCTCGCTCTGGGCGTGGAAAGGGCTCTGGCGCTACCTGAGGTACAGAAGCAAGTTTGAGGTCGGGCTGAAACAGGGTTGCCGGCCAGCCATGTGTGTCGTTCGCCCGCGACTCTCCCCTCCCCACAGCGGGTTTGCAGCTTTGACTTTGTCTCTGAAACCTCCGTATCCCAGCCGGGTCCTGTTTCTGAGCACTCACGTTACACAGGCCTTCTATGCCCTCAACCTGCCAACGTTAAAAGACCTGTGAAACTTGATCTCCTTGTTCCTTAATGTTTGAATAACTTTAAGTTGTTCTTTCTGCAGACGAGCCTAATGGCTCTCCTGCAAGCTCTCCACGCACGAATACCGTATATAACGTGCGGTGGTAGTACTGTACTTTTTGTAATACTTGATGCGTTCTTTTTGTACCTGCAGTCCTTTTACACCCGGCCAAACGGTCTGTCAGATTACATCCCTGGAGACGGCATAATAAATATATTCGAATAGTGATCCTCAAAGATGAAGAACTTTACTGGGAGAGGTCTGGTACTAAGTCTTTGGTGAGCTGATTTGGCGTCCGGCTCTGGGGACGAAATGGCATTTCCTAGCCTAGCCTGCCTGATATAAGGGTAGGGCACCAGCCATTTCTCTGCCCTGTGTTAGAGGAATTCTGGAGAGTTGTGCTGACAGTTAATTCTTGATCCTTGTTTCTTCTTTTCTTGGCTTTTCTTTCTGGAGTTCTAATAAGGTTTCTTTCTCTTCTGCAGATATGCACCCAATGTCCAGGGAGTGTGCAAAATTTGTCAAAAGTGGCCCTTTATTGTAAGCAGACATCAGAGCTAATGCTGCATGCCCGCTGTTGCCTGAATCAGAAGGGCACCATCTTGGGGTGAGGGAGGAGAAGACATCTTTGGATACTGGATACAAGCCATTCCTTGGCCTGGCTGCTTTTCTCCCTTTACATTCTTTTGAGATTACCCTATTTTTATGGCTTTAGCTGTAACCATTATGCAGGTGTCTCCCCAAACTAGATCTCTTTTAGTGTCCTTTGGCCTCTCCACACTCTAGTTATATGTGGGTACCTCTAGCTTCCTATTAAACATTTCCTGTTAAGTACACCATAACTTCAAACTCAAAATGTCATATTTTGCTTCTATTCTTTTCTTTCCCTAGTCTACCTAAATATTTATCTGTATTAAACTTTCCAAAAACCATGTTTTTCCATTATCACTCTTGCTTTAATGCTATATTTGATAACTCTCTGTTGCCCTCAGGAAAAGGCTCAAGCTGTGAACTACCACAGACTAGTCCCAACCCAGTTTTTCAACATTATTTTATATTATCCCCAATTTTTTTTTTTTTTTTTTTTGAGACAGAGTCACTCTGTTGCCAGGCTAGAGTCCTGTAGCATCAGCCTAGTTCACAGCAACCTCAAATTCCTGGGCTCAAGCAATCCTTCTGCCTCAGCTTCCCAAGTAACTGGGACTACAGGCATATGCCACCATGCCCAGCTAATTTTTTCTATATATTTTTAGTTGGCCAATTAATTTCTTTCTATTTATAGTAGAGACGGGGTCTCACTCTTGTTCAGGCTGGTCTCGAACTCCTGACCTTGAACGATCCTCCCACCTCAGCCTCCCAGAGTGCTAGGATTACAGGCGTGAGCCACCATGCCCAGCCTATATTCTCCCAATTTTTGCAGTTTGTAGGAACTCAGTAAATATGTATAAAATAAAAGAATGGACAGCAATAGATATTGAAGGAAAAAATAATGTGGCATAGTCCTTAATGTCCAGAAGTTTACGACCAGTCTGTTTTAGGAAATATACTTGGAAAACATTTTCATTTATATGCCTTGCATTTTTTTTTCATTTAAAGGCCTTCTGTGGATCTGAAAATCATGAGATTCATTAATGTAGACAAGAAACACAAATTTCTTCCAATATATGCATAGGTATACTGACAGTGCTGGCCGATAGAACTTTCTATGATGACGGAAATGTTCGTATTCGTACTAACCATTACAGTAGCCACAACATGGTTATTCCATTTGCACTAGTGCAAATGAGGCACTGAATTTTTAGCTTAATTTAAATTTAAGTAGCTATTGGTGACTGTATTGGATAATGCAGTATTAAATGTCTACCACAGCAACCTAGTTTGTGGCTCTGAACACAACTGTGTTCAATTACTATTAGCTGAAAGGGGAGGGGCTATGTAGTCAAATGCAAATCTTGCCTTGGATGAAGTAAAAGAGAGATACATAGTTATATTGATTACTTTGTTTCCTCAGGCTGGATCTCCAGAACTGTTCTCTGAAGGACCCTGGTCCAAATTTTCCTCAGGCACATACTGCTGTCATCATGTAAGTGGTTAGGTACCCTCCTGCCCCAAAGTCAAATATGGCAAAAGGCTAATGGGAAAGTCTTTGGAGACTCCTAAAAAGATAGATGAATATTAATGTCTAAATTTAGGCAACTCCGGATGAGGATTAAATTACCAGTCTGGAAAGATGTGTGAATATTAACAGGGTGCTTCCCTGAGAAGATGTTAACAGTGTGTGTTTTGCAGAGACCTGCAAGCAAACCCTCTCAAGGATGACTTGGCCAACACCTTCCGTGGCTTTACCCAGCTCCAGACTCTGTGAGTAAGGGCATGGGAAGAGAATCAAAGAGGGGCAGTGCTGCAAGCTTGGCAACTGCAGGCTATATTTTATGACTACTTGTGTTGTCTTTAGGGTACTGCCACAAGATGTCACTTGTCCTGGAGGTATTAATGCCTGGAATAATATTACCTCTTATATAGACAACCAAATCTGCCAAGGACAAAAGAACCTTTGCAGTAGCACTGGAGACCCAGGTATGTTGTCTCGCCTCCAGCCATCTGGAAACTGCCCTTCCTCCCCCTTGTATTCTGCACTTTAAATCAGAAAGACAAGGTGCTTAAGTGCTTTTTGTTTAGAGTTCTAACCCCTTGGAAAGAAAAGGTCTTAAAATATATTATTGTTATTGTCAACGTTTTTATTATCTGGACTCTTCTTTCCTCTACCTTTCACCTAGAAATGATTGAGAGAATCTAAATTGAAACAGATAATTGAGAAACATACCTAAGGAGATCTTCTGTTTTTCTCTGGTTTTCAGAAATGTGTCCTGAGAATGGATCTTGTGCACCTGATGGTCCAGGTCTTTTGCAGTGTGTTTGTGCTGATGGCTTTCATGGTTACAAGTGTGCGCGCCAGGTGGGGAATTAGGCCTTCTAATTAGGGATAAGAGGAATGCATAGAGCAAGACCTATCTGAGAGGACAGCCACAAGAACAGGAGTTGATACAAATACTTAGAGGTGGAAAACGATAGGAGAATTGCCCTAGATGAGGGGAACGTACCTTAGAAAAGTGTTAGGACGTAGCCTGCTGTGTAATACTGTATGGGATGTTTTGGATCTGTTGTTAACAGGGCTCCTTCTCACCGCTTATGTTCTTCGGGATTCTGGGATCCACCACACTGTCCATCTCCGTTCTGCTTTGGGGGACCCAGCGCCGAAAAGCCAAGACTTCATAAACCACATAGGTCTTACTACTGACCTAAGACCATCCTGAGCCATCTTAGCCTTTCCACGGAGATTTGCTTCATAGACAGGCATCAAGGGCCAGCAGATCCTCCTCAAGTGTGAGGCCATTAGAAGGAAGATGGAAAATTGCACTACCCTGGAGTGGACTTGTACCAGTTCCCATTTGTGCTGTTGCTTGTAATAAACACTTTTTTTTCCTCGTCTTGTTTGGTCTTTTTAGGGAAAGGCACCCTGCCTTTCTGCGTTTCTTGCATGGGCTGGGAGGGACTTCTTCAGGGTAGCTGGTGTTTTCAGGATTCCCCTGATCTTGCGGTGCAGAGATCGCGCGGCCTCGCTGGCCCCGCCCCTTGCGTGCGCGGCCCCGCCCCTCACGTCACCGGTTCCCGCGCCGCCGCAGTCACCGCCGCCGAGCGCGCCTGAGGTTCCTTCGCCTGCCGCGCCTGCCTTCTCCCCAGCGCCCCGCGCAGTTAGCCACGTGGACCGACTCCGGCGCGCCGTCCTCACGTGGTTCCAGTGGAATTTGCAGTGCTTCCCGCTTCTCCGTACTCGCCCCCGCCTCTGAGCTCCGTTCCCATGGCGGCCCTAGTGTTGGAGGACGGGTCGGTCCTGCGGGGCCAGCCCTTTGGGGCCCCTGTGTCGACTGCCGGGGAAGTGGGTAAGCAAGCCGGGGCAGGCTGCCGACCTTATCCCACTCTCTGATGCCCCTCTCCGCCCAGCCTTCTCCGTCCAGACCCCGCCATTTTCCCGCCTGCAAACTCCCTCGTCCCCGTTCGGTGCCCATGGCCTGGCCCCTTTCATCCCTCACGACCAAGGCAGCCTCCACGGGGGCATGGTCATCTGGCAGGGCAGTGTTCCGAAGGGT